GAGAAAGTGTCTTGAAATTTTTTTTCGTGAGGGGCGCTTGATATTTTGAAACAATATCACCGCAAAACTTTTAAAAATAGTATAATTTGCCCATCAGTTAACTTTGGAAAATGTTTGACCATTGAAAAAGAAATTTGATCCATGAGAGGACACGTGTCTCCACTGTGAAGTTTGAGCCAAAGGAGACCAATATCGTTCTTCTTCTTCCTCATTGTGAGCAGGCTACCTATTTGAACTTCCTCTCACCTCGTTCTTCTTCCTCCACATGAGCTGACTTCCTCCTCGTTCTTCTTTTAAAATACCTTTGAAGATTGAAGCTGAGGCTCCTTGGCCGAGTAGCAACTGGAATCCGTTGGTGGTGTCTTCTAGCTCTTGGAATCGGAGCTTGGTCGGAATGCCAGCAACTTTTTGCAAGAACCTGTACTCTATTCAGAGCGTCCTTCACAAATTTATATCGCGAGTAATGTATATGGAAGAGTCAAGCTTCCAGGAATCCAAGCACCCATGACTGAAACAGAAGAAAGCACAAGCATCGAGAATCTTCATACAGATTTTGAAGAGAAAGAACCAATCACTTCGAAAAATGCAATAACTTTGAAAGCAGAGAGATCTAACCTAGGTGGTCAAGACGATGAGAAGAGCACAGAGGAGGCTGATGGCCTGTTTATAATAAGCTTTTATGACAGTAGTGGCGCTGATGGAGTAAACATTGTCTACTTCGAAGGAAACACCGCGGTTAGTAAAGATAATGATAATCACATGCTCTTTGGTGTTGAAAGGCCCTGGATTCAAACTGAATCTCCAGCCCATCAAGCTGTACTCCTTAGTCGGAAGAACAGAGACCATGAACTTTCCAATGGGTAGGATGGCGATTTTCACGAGAATGGTGGAGATGGTGAGGGGCTGAGTACGAAAGGTGAAGGATGTATTGAGGAAGGTGAGGAGAATGCAGGAGGTAGACAATCAAAGTCCCAAAGCAAGCTCTGCGGAACGATGAGCCTTCCTTCTTCCTGGTTCTCTACCAAACTCTACTACTTATAAAGACAAGTGAATTTCGTCCCTACTTGTTTCAATGAAAGCTAGCTTCTCCTTTCTTTGCCTGAGTTAATGATAGATATAGATAGGGATTTGGAATGAAAGTCCAGAGGTTGTAGTCCCAAGGGCAAGGCAGAGGGATGCTTTCCTCTGTTGATTGAGTGAAGTGACTTTCCGGGATCCCTGAAAGTCATGACCGGAAGAGAAGGGTTGTTGGTCTCCGGCGCCACCAGAGCCACCTCCTCCATGAGACAACAATCGTTGGAGGCATCACAGAAGAAGAAGAAGATGGAAGGAATGGAAATCAGTCAGCTCATGACACGTGTACAGTCTTGGTCAAATTATTAGATTTAACTGTGGGATAAAATTGTTTTTTTTTTTAAGTTTTGGAATAACATTACTCCAAAAAAAAATTTAAAATATTAGCAGCCCCATGCTAAAAAAATTTTAAAGTATTTTTGTCTTTTAATCCAATTTTAAAGCTATAAATTAATCTGTATTATTAAAATTTAATATGAATGGTTTTATATTTGTAGTGAAAGTACTTTTGAGGAATATGAAGTGAAGAGAAACCAAATGGGGGTGGTTTAAACTTAAAGATCCAACAACTAACCTGGGAAGCTGAGGTCTGAAATGAATTGAAAGAGAAAATGCAAAAAAATTGCATTTAAGACACTCGAACTTAACAAAATGTATACTAAAAAATTCTCACTATTATAGTGATCCATACGCACTAAAAGTAGTCATCATAATCGTAAATAATGTTTACATTTTCTTCAAAAAAAAATGTCAACATCAAAGTCATTCAAAATTTACATTTTTGTAAATTGAATAGATTTTTTTTAAATTTTTGAATTTTAATTACTAAATGTAATTTTATATTAAATTCGAGTTTTGTATTTTTTTTTTTTAAATACATAGAAGTGGACCCAAGGGCCAAAATATTTTATAGTTGGAGTTTAATGTGCACCTACCTATCTTGACATCCTTAAAGCCAAAGCAAGACCTTATTTTCTCTCTCAAAATTGAATTCATATCTATTCGTTGGAAAGTTATTGGTACCCAAGAAATTAAAGAAAAAACTTTTTGCTGGAAAGATTTGTGGCGTCTTGTTTCGGAGCCTGTGAATATATCATGCTTAAAGTTATTTTATTTTCATGTGTCAAAAAGTTGTTTAATGTTTTGAATAAATTCATGATCTCAGTTCTCACCACTAAATTATCAATAAATGGAATTATTTTAAAATTTCAACACTTTTTTATTTTACAAAACTAGTGAAAAAAGATGACACTGTATTCTACTTAACAAAAAGAGACTTGTTTGATTTCACGTTGAAAATTATTAAAATCAAGATTTTGGTGAAAATTAATTTTCAGTGCAAAATTAAACACACACTAGCGTGGTTAAAAAAATTTATTCTTTTAATCTTATTCATAAGATACTCTCAACATGTTTAATTGAAATCAAGAAAAATTTAAAATTTATTAATTTTGTATAAAAATTTAATAAAATTTTAAATTTTATTTTTATTAAATATACATCCTTTAATAAAATTTTTTTTTCGTTAATATTTAACGAAAGATTAAATGAAAAAAAATATATTAAAAAATTAATGATGTGAACATGATTTAAAAATAGAACAATTTTTTTCTTGTACAATGACCGGATGTGATGTTATATAAATGTATAGTCCAAACAATCTTTAATGAGGCTTGAAATGGTATCACCATCGGTGATTTGAACCTTCATTTAATGCCGTAATTCCTCGCTGGATGCTAAACAATCTGTGGTTCACCCGCATTTACTTCAAAACTTATAGTGTAGGAATTAATTCGTGAAAAGACAATTTAATTGGTTCATAGATTAATTATTTGTCATATTTTTTTTAACAATTAAAATTTAATAAATCCATGAATCAATTTGTGAAGATAGTAAATTCCTAGCACACCATCTCTTTTCATCAAGTGACTTAAAAACACCAAAAAAAAAAGATGATATATTATTTCCACATATTATGCGTCATAATCATTAATTCTTATTGTTATTATATTGTTTTCTTTGGCCGAAGAAATGATGAGTAATAAAGCAGAAAATGGAGAAGAGAAGAAAGATAGAAGTACGTGTGAGACGTGTATATATATATGTATATATCAATTTGTTAGCTTCTAAGTTTGTTTAGAATGATTAAAAAGTAGATGCAATTATCACCAAAGAGTTATACTACTCAACCATTAAATAATTACATCATAGGCTATATGCAAGAAAGTGAACCACTAGCTATACCTGCGAGTTGGAATTTGCCATGAGTCATGAGATACACAATTCAAAGTCTTCGTGAAGCTGTGCCATTATTATTATTATTATTATTATTAGTTTGAGAACAAAGTGGTGTTTGGTTGTGGAAAGGGAATTTGTATTAGTGTCACTAATGAATAGGTCATGCAAAATTGGCAATAATAGTTCATGATAAGTTTTATATTTGAATTTCAATAAAATTTGATCCCTCGCTCTACCTTATAAAGCTTGTTTTAAATTGTCCACATTGCACCTATACTTCTTAAAAAAATAAAAACAAATACAGTTATAATATGTGTTTACTTTTACTAATAATTTATTGAAAAAAATGAATTATCATAAGTTATTTATTTGTTGTTAACATGTCACAATAAAATTTGGAATTTCAATTTTAATTGATTATTCAATTTTTTTTTTGTATAGCTTGCTATTTTTGCTTCCAATACCACTGCTTAAAAATTTAAGTATGTCCAGAATATGTCATATGTTTTTTTTTTTTTTAATTTAGAGGAGCGGACGCTAATTGTTTGATCAAATCCGCAGCCTTTCACTTATAAATAATCTTACATGCCTCTAAATTATAGGGTTGTTGAAGAATATGACGTAGTTTTCTCACTTCTTATTGTATTTTACATTCATTAATTTAATAATTTGTTAATACAATATCCACTGTCTAATGGTACCAAATTGTGTTTAAGTACTATTAAGTACAGCCGATGGCAGCTTCCTTCATGAAACTTTTTCCATATATTCAAGAAAAAAAGGTACGAACTTATTTGAGCAAAAATCACCCATATTTCCTCGTACCAAATTTTCAATACTAGCTCTTTTTAATTTTGCATTTTTGACTTGGACAACTCATGCAGATCATTGAAAATAGATATTATTAGAGTTTGATATTTTAATCACATTTTTTAGTTCTAATTAGTGGTTGTAGTTTTTATTAAACTTTCAATAAAGCATACTTCAAAACCAAACATTCTGAAGAAAATTTAAAATATAATTTTTAAAGTCAAATTTGGGCTAATTTAGTTAAATATAAATCCCAGGAGATATTAAATAGGAAAAACTGGAGAAGGGGAAGATAGAATGGCGTTTTGTTTCTGTACAGCGTAACTTTTAACATACCAATAAAGGTTGGGTCAGAATTCGGAATGATAGAAAAGGAGCAATTACCTTCATCTTTCTATATAAAATATTTTTAATTAAATTTTTTATATTAATAAAATTTATTATTTAATAAAACTCACATAAAAATATAATAATTTTTAATTTTTTTCTAATAACATTATAATTAATATCAGAATGATAATAAAAATATATATAATTAATAATTTATTTTATCTTTTAAAATGAAAGTAAAATTATTTAATTACTTAAAAATATTATTGTGACTTTTTATATTTAAAAATAAAATAAATTTTTTAAAAAGTAGATAAGGGGAGTAGTCACCTTATATAAAATTCGAATGTTTTGAGAGGAGGTATCTATATTCAGCGTCGACGGTATTTATGATAATAAAAACTGACTTCATTATTGTTGTTGGAAATAAAATTGGTAGTATTCCAAAAATAAAATAAAAGTGGTAGGATAAACTTAATTAAGGAATGATAAAGAATTAACCATCGCTTAATCCAAGCTCTGAAAGCGGAAACGAAGAAACAGAAAGCTTCCAAAGACGACTTGCTTCTCTTCTACTTTACTCAACCGTTGGCAAGTCCGATCATCGGTCTGTGCTTTTTGGCGGGGGGGTTGTGTGGGACCCTCCGATTAAAATCTTGTACTTCCCACATCTCTCTCTCTTAAATACTCTCTCTTTCTTTCATCTTCTCAACCTCCTCCTTCCTCCTCCTCTCTCACTCCCTACTTCACTGTGACTGTTTCCTCGCCGCTTCACTATCCTTCATTGCTCTTCCTCTTCACTCCATGAACACTATTTGCTGCTTGCTCTTCTTATTACTATTCCTTGTTCCTCAGTCCTCGTTCTCTCTCTCTTCCGATGGGCTTGCCCTTCTGTCTCTCAAATCTGCCATCGATCAACCTCCTGGAGCCTCCGCTTTCCCCGACTGGAACGATGGTGATTCCACTCCTTGTCAATGGTCTGGCATCTCCTGTATGAACGTCTCTGGTTCCTCGGAGCCTCGCGTCGTTGGAATCGCGCTTTCTGGGAAGAATCTCCGGGGCTATATTCCTTCTGAGCTCGGAAGCTTGACATATCTTCGCAGGCTCAATTTGCATAGCAACAATTTCTACGGTTTTATTCCTGTTCAGCTCTTCAATGCCACTTCACTGCACAGTCTTTTTCTCTACGGTAACAACCTCTCCGGTCCTTTACCTCCCTCGATCTGCAACATCCCGCGGCTTCAAAACGTCGATCTCTCCAATAACTCCATCTCTGGTAATATCCCTGGGGACCTTAAGAAGTGCAAGCAGTTGCAGAGACTGATTCTCGCTCGGAACAAGTTTTCAGGGGAGGTACCTAAAGGTGTGTGGTCGGAATTGGATAATTTGGTTCAGTTGGACCTTTCTGCGAACGAGCTGGACGGGTCGATTCCTGACGATATTGGCCAACTGAAAACTCTGTCGGGTACTCTCAATCTTTCTTTTAATCACTTGTCTGGCAGGATTCCGAAGTCGTTGGGGAATTTGCCAGTTACAGTGAGTTTTGATCTTCGGAATAACAATCTAAGTGGCGAGATACCCCAAACGGGGTCGTTTGCTAACCAGGGTCCTACCGCCTTTCTGAACAATCCGCAGCTCTGTGGATTTCCCCTCCAGAAATCTTGCGGTAATTCCAACCAGGGTTCCTCGGGAACTCCAAGTCCATCTCGGGAGTCTGGAAACCGTCCGGCGAATGGCCTTAGTCCTGGTTTGATCATACTAATTTCAGCGGCTGACGCAGCTGGGGTTGCGTTAATTGGCCTTGTAGTTGTGTACATTTATTGGAAAAAGAAGGACAATTCCAATGGATGTAGCTGCACAGGGAAGAGCAAGTTTGGCGGGAATGAGAAAGGGCATATTTGTTCCTTCCCGTGCATCAATGGTCTCAAAAGTGATGACTCTGAAATAGAGGAACCTGAAAAGGCAGAGGATAGCAAAGGGGAAGGGGATTTGGTGGCCATTGATAAAGGTTTTAACTTCGAGCTTGATGAACTTCTCCGGGCTTCGGCTTATGTTTTGGGAAAGAGTGGATTGGGGATTGTGTACAAAGTGGTTCTGGGAAATGGGATTCCTGTGGCTGTGAGAAGACTCGGAGAGGGCGGTGAACAGAGGTACAAGGAGTTTGCGGCTGAGGTTCAGGCCATTGGGAAAGTGAAGCACCCTAACATTGTGAAGTTGAGGGCTTATTATTGGGCTCCAGACGAAAAGCTTCTGATCAGTGATTTCATCTCCAATGGCAATTTGGCCAATGCTCTTCGCGGTAAGTTCTTTTCAATTTCATTCATGCCATTCTTTTTCCATTGCCCATTTTTGCTTTCACTTCCTGCATCATTATGAAGGGGGTGTTGACCTCCGTTTCTACTCTACCCCTGGTGGATAATCAAGCATAGCAGAGCAATAATGATAGCAAATTTAAATGAAATATAATTGCTTGTACTATTGGTTAATTACTATAATTTATTACCCATTGGAATATAAGCGGAATATAAACTTTAGTTATGGCCTTTATCTTAGAGGTGTACTATTATTTTAATGATCTGGAATATGGTTGAGTTGTCTTGTTTTGTTTCACGGCACTTCTAGAATCGCCAGAAGTTACTGGTCTTTTATGATCTTTAAATTTCCCACGCCGAGTTGTGTCTGAATTTTATATTTTTCATGCCTGTCGATTTCCTGATTAATTTTAATCATACTTTTAACTTGGATTGCTAGTCATGTTAGGGAAGGTTGCATTTTTTTGTTGACTTTCCAACATATTTTCGGCCTAGAGCATGTGGATCTCCATTATGCCACCCAGAATATGCTAATTTCAAAGAGAAGTCCAGAGATAGAGATTATATGATTGGAGTTAGTCTGCTTCGTGTTTTTTTTTTTTTTAAGCCAACTGCTACGTGGTTGATTTGTTGGATAATAGATGCTCAGATTGACCGAAATAAAATAATCAGACTGTAGAATTATGAATTTTGCTGAACCCTTAAGGTGATGAATGAGGTATAGGGCGTTAGATCCGAGGAAATGTTTAGTCAGAACGTGGTGTAATGACGTCCCTCTAAGGTCATGGAGCAGGAAGGAGGACATCGCTAATGACATTGACCATGTGTGAGGGAATTAAGTGGCATTCATGTGGGGGGGCCAACATCTCCTGTGGCATTCACACCCCACCTTGATCCACTCAACTCACCAAATCCCGTTTAGCTGTATTATAAATTGACGAAGAAAAATGAGAAGAGTAACATCCTCTGTTTAAAGGTTGGAACCGGATTTTTTAATGATGAGCTATTACTGTTCCTATCGTTTATACTCTCTCCATTCCTATATCTAAAAAAAATATATCACATAATTTAAGAAAATTGATTAATCATAATAATTATGTTTGAAAATAAAAAAGGTAGACTAAAATACTCTGTATTAATTAACATAACTATATATTAATTATTTTTTGTTAATATAAATTATGCAGGGTGATTATAAAAATGTATAATAAATATTTATTGAAATAAGTAATTTTACTTATAAAAAGATACAAGTCAAAAGTAATTGTTTCTCTAACGTTAGAAAATAAAGGGTGTAATTATTACTAATCTACAAGTTTGGTGGGGTGGGCCTGGGGGGCATTTTTTTCTTTTGGATCCGACGGGGAGGGAGTGTTTTGTATGTTTGAGAAAATTGCAAATTCATGGAAGTTGCAACTTCATTCGTATCTTAGAAAGCAGCTTTGTGTAAAGTACTAGAGTCCGAACAAAACATGTACAAGTTTGTGCCACTCTTCCGACTTTCTATCAACCCAAGTAAAAGTTACGCCTCTTGTTCCAATTGGATGCTTTACGTTGTCTCAACTTTTAACGCTCAACTTGCTGCCTTTTGACGCAGAGTCTCTTATCTCTACCAGCTTGCTAATTTTTATCTATATTTGAACCGGGCCCCTCTTTCCTTGCTTCCACTGTACCCCGTCTTTATTATTAAATAATTAACCTTCATATTTTAGTCTAGTTGACATATTCCTCCATATGGAATAGCTCATTTGCATTCTCTGTGACATTTTCTGCCATAATGATTAATGCTAATTGATAATGCAGGTAGAAATGGTCAACCTTCTCCGAATCTTTCATGGTCAACAAGGCTGAGAATTGCCAAAGGAACTGCTAGGGGATTGGCCTATCTCCATGAATGCAGTCCAAGAAAGTTCGTCCATGGTGACGTAAAACCCTCAAACATCCTGCTTGACAACGACTTCCACCCTTATATCTCTGACTTTGGCCTCAACCGCCTCATCACCATAACTGGAAACAACCCTTCCTCTGGGGGCTTCATGGGCGGAGCTATTCCATACATGAAACCATCCCAAACAGAGCGAACCAACAATTACAAAGCCCCTGAAGCTAGAGTCCCTGGCTGCAGGCCGGCCCAGAAATGGGACGTCTATTCATTTGGAGTTGTATTGCTTGAACTTCTTACTGGGAAATCTCCAGAGTCATCTCCCACAACGTCAACTTCCATGGAAGTTCCTGACTTAGTGAGGTGGGTGAAGAAAGGGTTTGAAGAAGAAAGTCCATTATCAGAAATGGTTGATCCATCGCTGCTCCAAGAAGTGCATGTCAAGAAAGAGGTTCTGGCTGTATTTCATGTAGCACTAGCTTGCACTGAGGGAGACCCTGAGGTTCGGCCTAGAATGAAATCTGTCTCTGAAAATCTTGAAAGGATCGGAACATGATTCAGAACCTGAGATCCGAATTCCGCCTGGCAATGATTTTTAGGTAGACTTGTTTATGGAAAAAAGATAGACTAAGCCATGAAAATATACACAAGCATGTTAGAATTGGATCTCATCGAAAAGAGCTTATGATATGCTTGTGTATATCTTCATGATTAATTTAGTCTACTTATTTATTTTTTTTTTTTAAGCAGAATCATACTTGACAATCTTTCTTACAAGATACTCAACGAAGATGCATTGCAACCTGTGCCATGGTGCGTTTGTTGTGGTGGCATTCAGATAGTTTCTTGGTGGCCATCATGAAGATGGTGTCGTACAAAATTCATTCCTTCTTGGATCAGGTCATCATCTGGATCTTAACTTTTTTCGGAATTGTGCAATTTTTGGAGAGCGGTCACTCTCATATTCACCCAACCCTTCCCTTGTTTCTTTTGTGATGATCAACCAAGTTGTTAGATTGTAATTTAATTTTTGTTGTGACAATCTGGTTACAATAATTTTATAACAAGATTCATTATTATGTGGCAGATTCAAAATCAGTATTGCGCGCCCTCTTTTCCCCTTTGCCTTCGTTAAACTGATAATGATAATTTTTTATGCTGGCCTTTTAATTTTGCTTGTGTTCTAGTCGAAACTATACCCATGTTACTACCTGAAATCTCGGGTTTTAAGGTAAAAAACAACGGGTAGCTCATAAACCGTCGTCACCATTTACATCACATTCTCATCTTCTCTGACAGTGACACTTTTGTCGCGCTCTAAGCAACTTAAAAAGAATAAATTTAAGGATAGCTTTTTAAGTAATGAGATTTAAAAATGGCTTTACAGCTTAACATTATATAAGCAGGAACAGAAAAATCATGGCCCTATAATTTGGAAAGGAAGAAGTATTCAACACTGAAGAAAGTGCCACGAAACCCATAAACACAAAACCCAGAATTTACAGTTCATGTCTTTGATATGAACTTGGTTATACAGAGAATATGCGTAGTAGTGTGTGCAAGTGTGCGTATAGTGATAGTGATTGAAAGAGTAGAGAGTAGAAACTGCATCTTATTGACTCATTTTAAGGGGGAAAAAGCATCCTGCAACAGCCCCATTAAAATGGAAAAAACCAGGACAGAAGTAACAAACAAATATAAGCATTAGTATACATTTAAGAAGCTATGTGTGGAAACCACAAGCCAAGTAAGTTTTTCTCTTCCAATAAGCCAAAGTCATAATCAGGTCTCAAGAAACTGTAGTCATAATAACCCACTTCCAGGTCTGCCTCCTTCATGCTATTCAGATACACAGGCAAATGACCACTCTGCCACTCATCCATGTCTTTTTCTTCAAACACGGAGTTCCATTGCCAGGAATGCTGAAACCCTCATCTCCAAATTTTCTCTCTATAGAAGATTTATATTCCTCGTTTTGAGAGTGGTCAGATGCACAAAATCCCAGAATCTCGGACGTCATTTCCTCCATTTGCTTCTTCTCAAAGGAAGCTTCACTTCCAATGACACTAGAATCCTCACAACTAGCTCTTGGATTCCATTCCTCCTCTGTTTCTTCTTCACTCTTCACCAGAACAATATCATGTTTCTTCTCTGTTTCCTCATTAGAGCATGTGGGTTCTTCTTCTTCTGCTCCTCCTTCCATATTATACTCAGGAAAGTTCAGGCGAGCACAGGGACCGTACATGGCTCTGGCTGCTTCATCATAAGCAAGGGCAGCTTCAAGTGCAGTAGAGAAGGTGCCAAGCCATAACCGATTTGGTTTCTTGTTTCCCACATTATTGTGATTTCCAGTAATGGGTTCGCGAATTTCTGCCACCCATTTGCCCCAAATCCTCTGTCTCACTCCTCTGTAGTTGCAATCTGAGTTTTGAGGCCCACCTTTGCCTCTCATGCATCCCTTTCTCGAGCCTTTCGCTGGAACTCTCTGACTCGCTTTCTTTGCTCCATTTTTGACAAACTCAACGTCACTGTTGTACTTCTTCCACTTCTCAAGAGTGTCTATGACAGAGTCACTCCCACTTCTTCGTCTCTTCCGCGATGTCTTGTTCCTGCAGTCACCACCCATATAAGAGCTTTGTTTAGAATTCTCAAAATTAATATTCATACCAGGACAGGAAGAAAACACAGATACCATACAGCACGAGAAGGTGACTAAGTATTGACGTATTGGTTTTTAGGTACTATTTGAAGTTATAATGCACTCTTCTTTTGAAAGTACTGGAGTTTCATAGATACTGGCAAATTACAAATTCAAGAGAAAATCATACTTAGTTTCTTTCACAAATCATTGACAAAATTTTCAAAATTATGTAGAAAAAACAAAAAAGCTTATGGCGCAGCAAGTCATCAACCAGAAAACAGACAAGCTGCGTGAAGAAGACTTTGTTTTTAAAGCACCAAGGTTCATAAATACCAGCAAATTTAACATATTCAAGGGAACTATTTACACAGTTTCATGCATAAATCATTTGCAAGAACTTCAAAACAGATAAAGTTAGATGTCTAAGATAAATAGTCCAAGCTCAGAATTGCTATTCATAGTTTCATATCATGCATCAGCCGAGAAAGCACTCTGTTCAACTAAATACTCTGTTCCTCCCAGAAATCATAAGAAGTTTCCATACAGAAACATGAAAAGCTTATGCAGGAACATTTCAGAAAAACTACAAAGTGAACACCGGGAAGTTAGAGGACAAGAGATTGAAAATATAACTCAGATACCAATTAAGACCAAATGAAAGAGGAGTTGAGATCTAGTTGGTATGTAAGAGACATGAATAACATGAGATGAAGGTAGAAGAAACTTACCCGCAAAGGGTACCAGTCGTCATGCGCCTTCAAAATCTGCAGTAGTTGACGATGTGAGTTTTGTGTTGTGAATCTGTGATTGAGGGTTTTGCGAGGGTTTTGTATTTCCTGGTTATAGAGATGTCATCACCAACGTCATCTTTGACGTGGGAACCAAGAAACTGTTCGGGTGTGGATGGCTAATCTCCTTAGTGCAGCAGGAGATGACGTGGCACGTTTAAAACTGCGAGAATAATGGGCTCTGCCACGTGGCGGAAGTTCACTATGTAAACTTTACACTCATCAGCAAAGTTTTCTTCGCGATGAAGGGCTCCCTTTTCATCCATATACGGCTTCTGATCTTTCTTCCCTTTCTATAAAAATTGATGAGGTATTTATTAATAAAATTTTATTTATATTTCAAATAATTTTTGTGCTTGTAACTTGTGAGATGGCTATTTTTTTCGCCAATGGTCATAACTGATGCTACTTTTATGACTGATGCTGCTGTTAAAATTTTGACTTTTAAATATGTGTGTATTCATTTCCTTTTTCTTTATTATGAAACTAATATATATACTCATTCTGATATTATTTATAAAGAGGAGAATATTTTTTTCTATTTATAATACATGCCATTAGTTTTTTATCACAATTTTTTAACTCATTAAATGTTTATAAGAGAAAATGCTCACATGAAAATATTTATAATTAGGAAAAAAAAAAAATTCTTTGCTCTCTATCTTATAAAGAGAACCGGAGAATGCATTATAAAAATATTTATGTTTAATATAGGTAAAGTTAAAAACTTATTTTTTACCAAAAAAAAGTTAAAAACTTATTAAATTTTTAAAGAAAGTTAATAAATTTCATTATGAATATTTAAATATATTCATAATTATGTTTTAAGGCATGATTACATAAAACAAAAGAAGGATCAAGCATATTTTTGTTATAAAATGATAATAAAAAATTGGGACTATGCTATTTAAAACTCACCCAACTATTAAGTTAGTCTGAGTTGATGTCAACAAGTTGCTTTTGAAAATTAAAAGTTTTAACGTATATATTAACTATTTTTAAATAATACAAATTATTTTTTTGTGAAATGTTGACTTATTTTTTGAATAAATTATTTCATGAGTCCTATAAAGTTCCACGTCTAAATGAAAAAAGAGGGGGCATGAGGTCCTAGGAATCAACTTGTTAGTTGATGAACTAGGCACTAAAAATAAATCAACCATAGGATTATTATAATAGACCACTGAGATATTAGATATTCGTGAAGGAGATAAGTTTTGCAATTTGTTTTTTAAAAATATTTTTAGTTGAATTATTGTTTTTTTTTTAATTACAAACAGACAAGCTAAACGTTTGAAGCAACAAATAGGATCGAATTGATAAGAGGCATCGCATTCGGCATTTCAGAGGCCACTGGGCTATGGACTGAATTATTGTTATTGATGTATTGAAGTTTCAACTTGTTATCCTAAAGTCATTAATTTCGTCTTGGGGATGGGGCAGACAGAACAATCCCGATAAATTTCATCATGCATCGCATCACCTCCTTTTTATTTTTCGTGTTTTTTTAAATCATTTTCTACGTTGGCTTTGTCAACTTTGAATTGGTTTATATATGCTATATTTTGTGGTTAATTGGGTAGAAATATTCAATGAACATTTATTTAAGGGTTAAAAGGGTAAACTTGTTCTAGAAATCTTTCACTAGATACAATCGATATTCTTAACTTTTTATTGATGTAATTTTTCACCAGGTGATTTTAATTGGGTAGAAATATTCAATAAACATTTTCTAGTATTTAAGAGTTACATTAAAGGATAAAATTGCCTAGAAAATTTTTGCTTGATGTAATTGATATCTTTAATTTTTTTTATTAACGTTTAAAAAATAATGCAATGTCATCTTAAGCTAACATTTTACTAATATTGATTATTAGTTGAACCATTCTAAAAAATTAAAGAGCAATTATGTTTTTCAAAATTTTATTTAAAAAATAATTAATATCCTAAATTTTTTATTAGAACGAATGAATTTAGTAAAGTACGAGGTTTTGTAGTTTCGTGAAAAGATTGAGTTTCCTCTGTAGCATTGCCATGATTGAATTTACATACATTGCGAGATGAAAAGCAAAGGCATACGGAATATTCAGAAGAAAATACCCTCCAATTTTTTTTTTAAAAAAGTACATAAAAAAGGCAATTAAGATAGTGTCGATAGCATTTTCCCAACAAATGAATATCACATGGTAGTCAAAGACATCGCCGAAGAAGCTACAGGATAAAGCCATTGACTGATCAATTGATGTGGAGTTTGATTCACACTCACTGATGATGAAGGTATAATGTAATGTTATTCATCACACAAACAAATATAAAGAGTTATTATAAGCATGGCTCTTGCCATTACCTAGATTTTACAAATTATTTATTTACTAATTAAAATATTTTTAAGGGACAATGATATTAAAATACTTCCTAAATAGATAAATGACAGCATAGTATCCTGAAATAGAGTAATTATTATAAAAAAAAAGTGACAATTATGGATCCCATAAAAATACTAATGACAATTGCGGGCATTAAACTATTAAAATTTTAATAATAGATCATGATCCTTACTTGTAATTAAAAAAATGTGAATAGTTAATTGAAAAATATAATAAATACACTTGAAATTATTTATAATATTAGTTAAAAATTTATAAGAGTTATTTGTAAATTTTAAATTTTTTGTTATCAATATATATAAATCACTTGAAAATCAAGTAAATATACTTGAAATTATTTATAACATTAATTGGTAATTTATAAAAGTTATTTGTAAATTGCAAGCTAATCGCTTATGTTTTTTTTAGCTTTTAATATATGGATAAATCACTTTAAAAATATATTAAATGCAATTGAAATTATTTATAACATGAATTAAAAATTTATAAAATTCAGTTGTAAATCAAAAATCAATTACTTATAATTTTTTGTTATTACTTAGGAAATCATCAAAAGACAACTGAAAGTCGTTGTAGCGTTAATTAGAACTTAATAGAGTTAATTGTAAATCTTAAGTCAATCAATAAGAGATAATTTATTATAAGTGAAGATCATAAGATGTTATTGAAATTTTAATAATTTATAATTATTATTAATATTCTTATGGTTTTTAATTGTCATTTTTTCTATTATGAGGTGTAAATATTTGTCAGACATTATTTTGTTTTGCAAAATGACTTTTTTGATCCCTGAACAATGAACAACATAAAAAACTATTATTTTCTTTTTAAGTTTGATCCTAATTTTTTTTAAACAGGCTTAGACTGACAAGCCGCTCTAGCCAAAAGTGGAGCTAATTGCCAAGTCCTTAATTTAAATTTGGTGGCTTACTTGAGTAAAAAGGAAGTGATGCTTCACATAAGGTCGTTTGTTTGAACATCTCCTTTCTTGATAATTCGCTCTATAAAAATAATTAATTAATTTAAATTAAGTTTCAATCAATTTTAAAATGTTAAACTTCAAGAATTTGTAAGTTTGGCTCTCAATTTTATAACTATATTGTGATAAATTTATAATTTATTTTTAAAATTTTAAAATCAACCAATTAATTCTAACTCTTGAATACCACCCATGTTATATGTGTAATGTAGTTTTCTCATTTGGTGCTGGTTTTTTTTAAAAATAAAAATAAAAAAAGGTATGAACTCACACTCAGTGATAAACCTCCTTTCCTATGCCGTGTTGGTACTGCAGAGATGCTATTGTAAGCCTCAATTTTACTATTTGTTTCAAGTTTTGTGATGTTTGGCATGTTCGAATCTTAAATTTTTCAGCAGTTTGAAGCTTGGAGATGAGTTCATAGTTCACATGATCACATGATTTTGATGTCAAGTATTTATTTCTTGGTTCTATTGTGTGAACTTGATAGCACCTTAGTGTCTCCCGTTCGGTAGGTTCCTTCCAGAGAAGGATGAGGACAGTAGGTTGCATTCCAATACATGAATATGTAAATTGTGAGCATTGATCTTTAAGAAAAATTAGGGAGATTCTAAATGAGAGAATGTAAAGATCTTTAGTTCAGGAGTTCATGAGTCTTTTCAATTTATAAACCTTTTATAAAGCCCAACAAAAGAGGCATACAAATGTGAAACTTTCTATATTAAGTCAAGTCCATTCATACTTTACATCATAACAAAATCAAATAAAACTATATAGTTCATTCAGATTTTCAAAATTTAGTACATACATATAAAGAATAACCACTAATGGCTTCTATATACATGCCCCACTGAACAAAAAATAATAAATCAATGAAAGAATAAAAGAAATCAAGAACATTATATATCTTTTCGCCTATAATAATCAAGTAACTAAAGTCTGATAATAAAATCAAATAAGAACCAGTTTGAAGTTTACTCAGTTTCTGGGACTTTAGCTCCATCATCCTCTGATGTGGCGGCAGAAGCTAAGTCTGGCTTTGATCTCCTCCAATTGCTGCAGAATATGCTGAATTGAAAATTCTCCTAGTTATATCATGTAAGAACCAATTTGAAGTTTATTCAGTTTCTGGGACTTTTGCTCCGTCATCCACAGAAGTAGCAGAAGCTAAGTCTGGCTTGATCTCTTCTAGTTGCTGAAGAATCTGCTGAACTTCAGGCCTAGCAGCTGGGGATGGATCCACACAATGAAGAGCCAATTTCAGAGTATTGAGCAGTTCATCACCTATAGTTGGTGCATCCCTCATGAGCTCCAAATCAAACACTTCATTAGTCCATTCTTCCTTCACTATGGATGCTACCCACTGTGGCAAGTCCAAGCCATTGGTCGGCTCACCAGGTGGTTTTCCAGTTAAGAGCTCCAAAATGATGACACCAACGCTATAGACATCAGTTTTTGTGTTTGGTTTCTTGGTCTTTGTGAGCTCTGGTGCATTATAACCAAGGTTTCCTGCAGTTGCGATGATGTTGCTGTTTGCTGACGTGGTCATTAGTCTTGAGAGACCGAAGTCTGTAATATGGGCATTTGTCTGCTCATCCAGTAGCACGTTGCTAGAAGTGAGATTCCCATGTACCATGTTCTCTTGTGTATGCAGGTAGCATAGGCCCCGTGTCACTCCAAGGGCTATTCTCATCCTTGTTGGCCAGTCTATCACTATTTCCGGGCCCCTAGCTGGACGTGCATAAAAAATATCAGCATCGTAATTCACAAATAATGTTTAAATATGTTATGATCCTTGTTTAATAGTAATATCTTAGATATAAAGATGCATTTAAAATATTTTAGGTCACAGGCATAGAATGATTCCAATATGGGTGATAAAAGTAAAAAAGACATATATATATATATATATATATTAAGCCTACTTCAAGTTTTAGCTTAGTTAATAACATCAATCAAACTAACTTATGGCACTTGGTTGTGTTGTGCCCTACATTATGATATCTAAGATACATTAATAGTAATATCTCAGATGTAAAGATGCATTTAAAATATTTATGTTTAGGTCACAGGCATAGAATGATTCCAATATGGGTGATACAAGTAAAAAAAGGTGTGTGTGTGTGTGTATATATATATATATTCAGCCTACTTCAAGCTTTACCTTAGTTAACATCAATCAAACTAATTTATGGCACTTGGTTGTGTTGTGCCCTATACTATGATATCTAAGATACATGAATCTAACAAAATTGGAATTCATAAGCACTTGTGTGTGTGTGTGTGTGTGTGTAAAGTCATAAGATATACTCATAAACTAGGGAATCTTACAACTTTTTATTGAAGTACTCAATATTATCTTTGATATTTAGTATCCTGCACTATAACATTCAAGATAAAAAGGTAACATAAGATAACAATCCTAAAATTTCCGAAGATCTTCTACTGACTACTTAGTACTTACCGTGTAGGAATGATGCTAGACTTCCTTTGGTCATGTGATCAAAGACAAGAAGCTTTTCTCCCTTTGGTCCCAAGTAGTATGCTCTCAGTGCCAGCAGATTTGGGTGTCTAATTTTGCCAAGTGCAGCAACCTCAGTCTCAAACTCCTTCTGTCCTTTGGTTGTCTTCTCCCTCAACCTCTTCACAGCAACCTGGTTCCCATCTTCTAGTGTTGCCTTGTATGCTGTTCCATAAGCACTTTTTCCCATAATCTCAGCAGTAGCACACAAGAGATCATCAGCTGTAAATACAAATGGTCCATCAAAGTGAACTAGCTTCCCTCCTGCTTCACCCCCTGATTCAACTTCACCTCCTTTCCCTGCGGTTCTTATAGCACTAGCAGCAGTGGATGCTTTCGCATTATTCCCATTCTTTTCTTTAGAGGCTGCTCTTTTCCTGATCAAACAACAAAGCAAAAAGCAGCAAAGAAGAAGAAGAATAACAAGAAGAGCACCTGCTACTATGAGGATTATGTCCTTGGTGCTTAGTTTACGATGATGCTGGTTCAATGAAGGCGTTGGGGCTGGAGATGGAGGATTCTGAGGTGGGGGTGAAGAAGAAGAAGAAGAAGGGCATGGTTTTGAAGGGATATACCCACAGAGTTGGAGATTTCCAGCAAAAGAGCTAGAATTGAATCTTTTGGAGAGGAGGGTTGGGACAAGGCCAGAAAGATTGTTGTAGGAAACATTAAAAGAAGTCAAGTTTGCAAGTTTGGCAAGTGAATCGGGAATCTCTCCCACAAGTTTATTTCCAGAGAAATCAATCTGGGTGATTCCCGAGATGTTCCCAATTGTCGACGGGATTTCACCCTCAAGCTTATTGCTCTTCAGGTTAAGCACAGTAAGGCTTTTTAACCGGTCAAAATTAACTGGAAAGCTACCATTAATGCCATTGTTTGATAGATCAAGAGTTTGAAGCCTTGAAAGCCCACCTAGCTCACTTGGAATAGACCCCAAAATCTTGTTATGGCTCAGAGAAATCTCTTGGAGAAAACCCATCTTACTTAAAGAAACCGGAATGGTTCCAGAAATGAGATTGTGATCGAGGGTCAAGATTTGAAGTCTGTAAGTTTGGTTTTTCCCCATACCACTACCCCAAGAATCTGGGACAGAACCAGAAAGATTGTTGTGTTCAAGAGCAAGAATAGTTAAAGAAGGAGACTCAGAGAAACTATTTGGAATGGACCCAGAAAGAGAGTTAAAGCTCAAATTGAGTCTATATAATCTAGTAGAGTTTGCCAAGCTAGGAGGGATAGTACCTGAGAGCGAATTATTGCTAATATCAATAGACTGAAGCATTGGACTATTCCTGCCAATGGAAGGAGGGACAGAACCTGAAAGCATATTGTTGAAGAGATAGATTCCTCTGAGATTAGGAAGGAAGCCAAGAGACCAAGGGACAGGACCGCCTAGTACGTTGTCGTGTAGGCTCAGCTTCCTAAGAGATTGAAGCTGTCCAATTTTCTCCGAAATCCTACCGCCCAATCCCCTCCATGGAAGCTGGATTGCAATAACCTGTCCCTTCACACACTTGATTCCTGCCCACCCACCAGAACAAGCTCCAATTCCACTGTCATTCCAGCTCCTCAGAACTCCTCTGAAATCGTTGAATTCTTGCTTTATAGCTCGCAGAGCTTGATAATCAGCCTGCTTAACAATCACCCCATCCCACGAATGTCCTCCTGAGACTGGTCGAAACGTAAATGCCAGAGCTAGAAGAACCAGGATGAAGGAGACGAAGAAACGAGAAATGGGACTTCCTTCATTTGTGGGAAACCTGTCTGCCGACCGATTAGTGTTTCCCATGCAGGAGGAAGATTTTTTTTTTTTTGGTTTGTAGACTGGTGGGAACAACAATGGGTAAGCAAAGAAACTCTCTGCTTATCACTTCTCAGCTGTAAAGCTGTGTGTTTCAGAAAGCACAGCGGTGGGAGATGAAGAAGATGAGAGTGAAAAAGGAAGAGGAGAGGGTGAGAAAAAGAAGAGAAGGATTGTGATGAGAGCATGTGAGGGGTGGGGTTATCGGTTTTTGGAGAGACGGGGAGAGAGAAGGAAGGAGGAATGGGTCAAAGCTCTCGTTTTTCTTAAATCGCAACGGCTAGTTTTACTTTGATACATTATCTGCGTATAACGGCTTGGTCTCTTTGAGCAGATGGGGCTCAGTTTTCCAACGGCTACATTGCATAATGCATGTTGATACTCAGAAGGGGACCCAATACGAAATTACCAAAACAGCCTTAAATCAGCAAATTTATACCATGCTTTCTATGGGCAAAACTGGAAAACTAATGTTTATTTTTACTCAGATTTTGTCGAAGATTTACAACGCTTTCTAAAAGAATAAGCTTTTCCCCCACCTTCTGTTGGGGCCAAAAAGACGAAACTTCTCAGGAGATCTAATCATATAGTACTGGAAGTAGCAGCAGGAGCCAGAAGGTAGAAAAAATATATTACGTATTCTAGTAAAGAATTAATAGTTACACTTAAGTTTTATCAATTTTTTTTTAAAGTTAAAGTCTGCATTCAAAGGAGTTAATTAGAATAAATGATAATTGATATCTTTTTGTCATTACTTTTAAAATAAAATCATGGATAAAATAACTTTTAGTCTCTGAATTTCTATCAATTATCTATTTAGTTATTGAATTTTAACTCAGACAACTTAATTCAACTTGATTCTTATAATTTATTAAGTTAAGAGATTATAAGAATTAAATTGTATTAAGTAAGTAAAATATGAAAACTGAATTGTTACAAGTAAAGTTCAGAAATTGAATCCATAATTGATTAGAGTAATTAATCTAAGTGTGAATGAGAAGAGATTGGATTATGTTTGAAGATACCTTGACGGAAAATACATTTTAGTGGATTTAATCTGATGGAAGGTCTTTAGGGGACATAAATAGAAAGACTGGAAATCATGAAAAGTGTCTTTATGGCGATGTGCTGAAGTCCTGAAGCAGCATGTGCGACTGTGCGTACTGTACGGACAGGAGGCATCAAAGTGACACGGATTGTCCACCCGAAGCTTTCATGAGGCCTCAATCAGTGGTTTATTACATTATTAATTAATTAATTAATTTTGCTTTTAGAAATTATTCAGATGTCTCCCTCGCAACGAAATTCCCACAACTACTTAAAACGACCTGTTTTTCAACAAATTTTTGGTTTATATTTGGAATGGAATGATTCCTTCCAAAGAAGTGAAAATGAAGGAAATGAAAACCAAAGGAAAATATGATGATGAAATCATAACAATTAATGAAAGCAACTTGACTTTTTTATTTTTTTAATGAATATATGATATTTGGTATTGAAGGATCATATTTGAACATTTGTCATCTTGATATGAAGAGAGAAACAAAACCTCTCATGCGTAACATGTAATGCCCCTCACTGAAGGCATCACACGAGTGTCGTCGAGATTTTCAATTCAAATGACAGTGTTTTCTTTTAACTTTATTTTTTTAATTCATAAGATTTAAACTATTATTGAATTATTTTCGTTCCACCCACTCATCAATGAAATACAATGAGTTTTATCCAGCACCAATAAAAAGATTAAAGTTGCAAGAATTTTCAATTTGTCATATCAAGTTTTGAAAAAGTAAATAAACTAAGACTAAACATATTTATAATATGCATAACTTGCATATTTATTCAGTTTTGACGTATTCTATTCATCCTTTATTAACTTATTAGAAAATGCACCAATTAATTTAGGAAAAATCAAGAAGTTTGGAAAAATAAATAGAAGTGGCGAAGAAATAAGGTAAATCAAGAAAATTCTAGATGTAATGTTTAATTACTTTTGGAAGTGAAAGAAGAGTGTTGGGTAATCCACTTTTGATGGATCAGGCCCAATATGCCCATGGGATCATTGTCAGAATATAAAAAGATTTGAGCTAGAAAATGTAATATACTCCAAGTCAAATGCACAATTTTTCTTTAATAATTTAACTCTATTGAGAGGAAGGAACGATCTTAACTCACGCATACGCGATCGAAAACCACAACCAATGTGGATGGTTTTATGCAGTTAGATAACTTCTAAGTCTAATAGCGAGTGATTGTGAATTTCTCTCGTTTTGTTCTTTTCTCTCAATTTTTTAAGTGTATTTGCTGTGAATCATAATAAAGTTTAGTCTGTAACTCCATTCTTACATATGGTATAACATTTAGCCAACATAATAAATATACTTTCCTCCTCAAATTCTTATAAAGAAGATGGGTAAGCATGAAGAATGAATGACGTAATTCACTTAGGACAAGTATAAATAGGATGGTTTAGACTGTTATAATGTGCAGAAAAACAAGTAGTATAAAGAGAGAAAGAAAGCAAAGTTAGCATTATGCAAAGTGTGTGTCACGAAGCGAGTGAAAGAATAAAAAAAAAACTCTTGAAGTGACTTGACGAGAATATAAAAAGGATTATAAAATAATCCAAATTGAGTGTGAGAGAAGAAAATAAAAATGTGTGCGTGTGAGAGTGAGGTAGAGTGACGTGAAGGAGAGTGATAAGAGAAAAAGTATATATTCTCTTTTCATTTTACAATGAAAATTTCTTTTCATTTAAGTGTTTTCTTTCTTGTCTTAGCCTATGTCAATTATTTTGAGATTCCGTTGCTCCAAATTCCAACATAACTCACTTTACCCAAAAGAAAAAATCAATATATTGTACATCACCTATGACAAGCAACAGAGGAGAGACTAAGATTTTGATGCACAAGTTGTGCAAAATGTTCCTTCTTATTTTCATTCCTTCTATTTGCCATCAAGTTGAAAAATCACCTCAGCCCCCAAGTCATAATCCCAAAGACATTGGTGGAAGCTGAAATAAGAAATAGTACCAAAAAATAATAATAGGGAAAGAAAACAAACTATTCAGTAATACTAGCAATTTCTCCCTCGTTTCAGAAATCTTTCTTTGAATTGGAAAGAGTTACAAAATAAACAGTAATTAAAATTATTTCATTCTCCTTTCACTACGCAAGTCGCATTGTTTCAAAAGCTATCCCTCCCTTCTAGTTTTCCTCCGTTATCTTCCAAAAAAAAAAATCCTTTTAATGCTACATAGTATTTATGTTAGGAGTTAGGACATAATATCCCTGCGCTCAACTTAAATTTCAAAATAGAATATATACCCTTGTATAATTTAAAATTTTTAATAAAACACATTATTCATGAACCATGAACAATACAATTCATTCCTTATCTTTGTAACTCTATACAATCCAGTGGACATAGTAAGCCTTAGTTTTAGTTTTTTTTTTCAAAAAAAAAATTTAAGATAACATAGTAAAACCTTAGTTTTAGTTCTAAAAAAAATACTTAATGTTATATATTTAAAATACATTTCTTAATTAAATGAGATGAGAACACGAGAATTTTCATTCATTATTTATTATAATACCAACTTTTATTAGTAATAAGACACTCATTCTAATTTGATTTAAAAATATCTTATAAATATAATTTTTTACATCAACCTTAAATATGAGTTTAAACGCCTCAATTTTCTCATCAGCTCAAAAATAAACTAAAATAGAATTTTCTCCATAAACTCTTCAAGATATCAACTTGATTTATACAATAGTTTGATATTTGTTTATTTTTGGGTAGAAACTAGAGAGACCGACATTGGCTACTGATAAATTCACAAACGCAAACGTGAAAACTCAAGCAAGCCGACGGAACCCGAGACCGAACACGGTTTCTCAAGGAGTTTCTTCAACTCCATGGAACAGAAGCACAGCTTGCTAAGACCCAAAGGGAACAGATATACCCACCTGCGACAGACTTTAATGCACCCATTATACAACGAGACAAAACCAAAATGCAATCGCTTCAGTTAAGCTTCGTCCAAGGCAAATGGCAACTACATGTCATTATTTCTTGAATCTTGATCCATAACCGAAAGCAATAGCCATGACCTATTTTGTTATTGGAGTTGGATGTGCAAAACAATTTCTAAAAGAATGAATAGAGGCCATCACAAAAGGTCATACATGAATAGTAGAAGACTAGGAGGTTGGAACTGGTGTTGGGACTAAAATAACTCACAAAAAGCTTGTTTGGTACAATGGGTTCCTTAATACTTAAAAATTAAGAGTCCCGTCTTAATTGATCCGATATCATCCCGATCATATTAAGATGAGTCTCATCCTAATTCGAAAACAATTGAGACAGGACTTTGTGGGACGAGACATAAAAGGGGTTCGAGATGACAGGATATAGGATTATTATCGGGACGTCTCGTCCTATCTTGAATATTATATATATATATATATATTTTATTTTTTATTTTAAAAATATACATTAAATATATTAATATAATTTATACTTATATTAGTTATATCAATTATAATTTTAATACATGTAATTCTTATTTAAAACTAAAATTTTTTATATTGATAATTTTAATGATATAGAGTAAATAGAGCGATGTCTTTCTTTATAATATATTAATTATATTAATATAATTTATTTTTATATCTATGTATTTAATAACTTTTATTTATATCGTATTTCTTGCTTTATTTTTGAAAGAGTAATTAGCTTAGCACATCTTAACTAAAGTAGAAAAATAATGATTTGATATTGTGCTTGACTGGCTTGTTGTTGATGTTGCCCTTATAGCCTAAGGATCACTTATAATTGCTATTATAATGTGTAGTTGTCATTAATATAATTCAATAATTGACTTTAAATTGTTGTGATTTGTGTACTTTGGTTGTTTTGATTTTAAATTTCATAAATTATATAATTTAAAATTTTAATAAATATTATTATCTAGATCTTTATCTAATATTGTCTAATTTATCGGGATAGCAAGACGTTTCGATCCTATCCCGATTCCTAATGAGACGGGACAACTTTTAGGATGGGATAGGACACAAAATAAAAATTTAGGCTATGTTTGGTAAATTGGAATTGTGAAGATAGAAATAGAATTGGGATAAGAATCTGAATAAAGTGATGTTTGGTAGATATGAATTACAATTCTTGGAAATCCTGATTTCATGAAAAGAGGTTGAATTGAATTCCTTATTTAAAGCTGAACAATTCTATAGAATTGTAACATTTAAGACACTTTTGCCCTCATACAAATTCCAGAAAGACAAATTTGCCCTTAAAAAAAAAAAACCCTCACCTCACTCCTAGTTCCTGATATTTTTGCTCATTATATATAAAACGTTATAATATATATATATATATATATATAAGATAGTATTATATATAATATTTGTATATAATTTATATATTTATAATATTTTTTGTAAAATATTTTACTGGATTTTTTATTATTTAGAAAGGAAAACTTTTAATTTTCTTGTATTTCCTTGCTACCTTTATTAAATATTTTTATTGGTACACAATTAAGTTTTTATTATGTTTTATTTTAATTTTTATATAGGGGTATTTTTGTCTTTTAAGTATAATTCCATTTCCATGTCTTGCATACTAAACAAAAGTAATGCAAGGATTCCATCTAATTTTTCTGACATACCAAACATATTTTTATAATTCAATTCTATTCCAATTCTGATTTCAATTTCAATTTCAATTTCATTAAAAATTATTCAACCATATCAAACAGGGCCTCCGTCTTTTCTTCAAGACTTGTCTCGTGTCTCGTGAACACCCTTATTGAAAATTTAAACTTGGGATAAAATTTTTTTAGACCAAAATACCTTTCATTTTTAGCACCAGTTTGCTGCCTCAAGCTCCACTCTTCAGCCACCTGATCCATCTCATCTCCTGATCTCCACCTTCGTCTTCCTTACCTCCTAGATCCCTAATCTCGCAACCATCATCTGGCAATCACCGTCAAATGAATCTCACAACTATCATCACTAGATCTCAAAGCTTCTCACCACTGATTCTCGCAACCACTTTCATCTCCTTCTCTCACATATTCGACTTCCATCTTCCTCTCTAACAGGCACACAGCTTCAAATTGGTGTGACGGTGTCCTAGAGGAAGTTCTTGAGCGGCAATTGAGTTCAGCAAAGGATACACAATGGCGAAGGGGTGGTTAATGGTTGTTCTTTCTTTGATTTCATGGACGAGCACGGGTGAAGTTTGGATCTTGCAACACTTATCACCATTTGATTTTTTTTTTTTTTTCGGTTCAAACATCCATTGAAATATGCCTGAGAAATCTGGAGAGCGAGCCTTATTCTTTCCATTCTCATTCTCGATTTGACGCACTGGATGAGGGTTGGGCCTTTGGCAGCGAGGGTGGAAGATGAGAGCAATTGTGTATTTTACCTATTTTTTAAAATTTAAGTTTAATGTTTTTTTTTTTCAAACCAAACATCATTTTAAATTTTATTCCTACTCCCAATCCCACTTTCACTCCCACCCTCAATCCTATTCCCAAATGCATAAAATTCAATGACGTGTACCAAACAGGGCCAACGAAGCTCGGAATAATATTCGATGCCACTGCATATTTGTTGGGGCATCATAAAAGTAATAATCTTCAATCCACTGATTGTAAAAGAAATCATGCAATGGTGTGCTGAACCCTGACATCTCAGATGTCAGGATCAACAAGTCGGATCTCTTCAATTTTTCTATAATAAAGGGGAAACAATGACAATGGGCTGTTTTAACCCCAATTCTAACTCCACAAACCACAAATAGAGGTCAAAATTGCTCATGCAGCTTCATTGATTCAAAAGCAGAAACAATGGATGTATTCTCAATTCAACTACTTCCCAGAGCCCATCAGTCCACAAACTAAAAAACAATGGCAAGCAATCTCAATTATGAGATCTAATTAAACAACACGGGCAAAAAAACAACCTGACTACCTGATCCCATTCCTTCATAATGTTCGATCTATCTAATGTTGGATAAAAACACAGTATGAACAATAAAAAGGGAAACTGATATAAAACCATCAAAGAGACTAGCTGATCCATCGTTCCATGCAACAATAAAACGGGATTACAGCCTTAGAGGCATCGGTATCTAACACATACGATTAAGAACATTTCCACAATCAGCTTTAAGAAACCAAATTACAAAATGAATAAAACAATTGAAGTATAGAGATCCCAGAAAAAAAAAAAACTGAAGCATGAAAACCGGTAGATCCATCAATAAGAGTTGCAAATCCTACATTAAACACAATAACAGAGAACCCTACAAATCTCAAGTGATTCACCCTGTGTATATAAAATTTTGTTAATACATTTTCATAGAAGGCAGAAGTATATTTTCTGCGTTTATTTCACCTCCAGGTCCTAACGATGAATTTCATGGATCAGATCAAGACACCATTATCCTGTCATCCTCCTCGATCTGGATCCACTGATCTGCTCAAACACGTGCAGTGACCGTAGGTACAGAGGAAGCAACAGCGGCATTGGCTGCAGCACCACGGATGAATGACAGGAATCCAGTAGTTTGAGAATTATCTTGTTCATCCAAGAAGAGATCTTCAGGAACCCTGAAGGCACCATGAGCGCAAACAATGGCCACACCCACCATGAGAGCCGAAACAAGAACAGATCCAACGTTGGTAAGAAAGACTACGAACAAAGTGAGGCCACCCAAGAGGGCCAATGTCTCGAAATCAGAGAAAGTGCGACCAAGAATGACCAAAGGCTGATCAGAGGGACGGAAGAGGTAAAGGAACATCCACGAAGCGAGCAAACCCACGAGGACAATAAGAGAGAATGGATTCGTAAGGAGAGAAACACCAAGGATCAGAGCAACTATAGCATAATAATTGACACGGAAGTAAGAGTAGTTCTTGCGGATCCGAAGGGTGGCTTCAGAGAAGCTCTCGGGTTTCGCGAAGGCCGTACGGTCAACGAGTTCACCCCAAGGACGGCGCTGCGCGAGGCCATTACGGACGGTATCGGAGAGGTGGCCGATGAAGGCGCGGAAGGCAGGTGTGGCAATGGGCCCTCCAGATTCGGCGGCGACGCCACCAGCGGCAGCGTTGGGCTGGGAATTGGAGATGGGGAGGACGGGAGGGCCTGAAGAGGACATTGTAGGGTGTGAGGGATCAACGAAGAAGAGAGAAGAAAGGAGAGATCGATTTATGGGAATGGAAAGACTAGATTTGGGAATCGAGGAGAGAATGCGAAATTGATGGATGAAGGCGACTTTGGGAAAGGTGTGGAGGGTTTTGTTTCTGTGAAATTGAAGGGAAAGAGATAGGATGTCCCGATGTAGGATGATGGAAAAAAACCAAGACGACGTCTTACGCAACTCAGCTTCGTCGTTAAGATTCCACTACCGACAATCGCATTGGGCATTGGCTTTTGGCTTTGGGGGCCTGGGTCAATGACTCAATACTCGTCGTTTACGATGACACGCGTATTTGCTCGCTTGATTCCATGCCTGGTCACCGTCGTTTACAATTCCACACGTATTCGATATTCGTTTTATAATTTTTGTGATCTGGGTTCTTTTAAATAATGTCAAACTTTTATCTAGAGTTAAAAAATTGGGTAGGTCTGAGCCATATGGATTCTGCCCTAATAGGCCCAACCTTAAAGTCCATTTCTTTAAAAGTCCTCATTTTTTTAAAGCCAGGCCTTTATTCAAAGAACACAGGCCGAGCTCGTAACTCATTTTAAAAAACATAAAAAAAATTCAAACATTTTTCAAAGGACTCAAGTATCTTTGTTCAGTACTTGCTCTATCGTGCTCAAGTTTAGTTTAAAAATCAAATGCAAATCAGGGACTTATTCATCAAATCATATACTTGTTTAAGTACAAAAAAGTAATAGAATGGTTTTCACATAAGGTCAGGATTAATAGTTTGTCCTCCCCAGAAATAGGCACTGCTAAATGCTCTTCAAAAATGAAAAATCAAGACTTGTCTTACACTGTCAATCCACATGCAGTGCCCTTCTTATCTCTTGAAACAAAGCCGTTCGTGCTGTCATAATCCTGCTATGAACGAAGGGGGAATCAAAGGCAGAGCAATTTATCCAATCCTTCAACAGCTCTTCTTGACCCCACATCTCAAGAATCCAAACCCTTCTTGCTACTTTAACTTTGTGACGATTCAACCTCTGGCGTCTTATGTAGCACAGATATTTAAAAAAAGTAAACGTATCCGTATCCGATATGATATTTGTAGGATATTTTTGTATACGTATCCCATATTCTAACATTTGTGATATAATTTTTTTTTCAATAATTTTTTACTATATCACTTAAAAACTTGAAAAAACAGTTAATATTTTAGTTAATTACTATAAATATCCTTATATTACTTTAGAAATTCTTGTTTAAAATCAAAGTACCTATATTTATATCATAAAATGTTGAAATATATATATTATAAATATCCCTGTACCCGTATCCTAAAATTTTAAAAATTTGCTGCATCCCCATATCATGCCATATCATATTAGATACTTGTACTTATATCTATGCAACCTAACTTGTGTCTAAGAGTACCTAAAAGATGAGATTGGATGATTGGAGTCAGCACCATGATAGCGAGGGGTGAGAATGGAGACGCCGACTTGCTAAGATTGAGAGGAGTGAGCGAGACCATAGAATCAAGTGAGGAGTCGAGATAGTTGAGTGAGCTTAGGGTTTTCTTAAGTGACTTTATGCTGTGTTTTATTAAAAAAAAAGGTTAAATGAGTTTGGAGGGCTGTCCGAACCTATTTTTTCAAAGTTGAGCTTGGAAGCTTAGTTTCTTTAAAAAATATTAATTTTTTAAGTCTAAACTTTTATAAAAATTATCTTAAATGAACAACCCTTCAGCCCAACTCTTATTCCTGACTGTACTTTCATCTTTAATCCTCAAGTGTTTTTCCTTTGCTTTGGCATGTCTCAAGATTGAAAAAATATTTACACATTATTTATTAATTATTAATTATTAATATTAATAATAATATATTCATTATGAACGAAATTTGAACTTATGAATCACACCCTAATCCTAATCAACCAGGACCAAGCTTTCCATCTTGACGTCCACATTTTGGATTGACTTGCCTGCAAAATATATCCTACCTTCGTTACCGTGGCTGCTTTCATTTCTCAATTACTTGCGTCATTACATATTTAAAAAAAAAATGGTCTTTCATCACATCATTAAATCCATGTCACTACTTTTGGTCAGATTTATCACAAGTTCACTATCGTTAACCCAAGGTTTATCAAATAGCTTTTTTCTTTTCTTTTCTTTTTTACAAGATTATCCAATAATAAATGTAAATATTTAAATTAGCATAAATGTGTCTGACAAAAATATCCTCCGTTCCTCCTTTTTATGCTTGGAATAGAAAGACTGGATATTTGTAAATAGATATTAGATATATCAAAAGAAACCATCTGTATTAATATAATTACCAAATTTTGCAAATTGCTTCATAAAAGGATCATACTCTCTTCTATATTGTCTAGTAAAAGGAAACACATGAGGAACCCGTGGGAACAACCTATTGTTATATGAAATTGTTTTCTTATTCATAAAGCCAAATATCACAGATTACCAGCCATTAATTGGTAAAAAATTTAATCTAGAGAGCATAATTCTAATAGAACAGAACAGGAAATCTGGGTTAACCATTCTCTGAAACATATCAACCACGCGGTAATAACAAAATGATGTAGGTTCCATCACTGGAAGTCTCTTTAAAAGGAAAGGATCCACATTGTCCCAAACAGCTAATCAAGTGCCAATTGTACCAGCTAAATAGATATTCGTAACATAACATCATTCATAGTCATAACAGTGGTGGGAAACAGAACAAACATCGCATTCAGTATCAAGGCACCACAACCATTAAAATGGAGTTTAGAACGTAGACCCATTCCATCCAAAGTTTGAACCCTGCAGAGCAAGAAAAGCAGAGTTACCATCGAGTTGCAGCAAACAATACAATACATGGCCATAAAATTGGACATTTAGGGTATGTTTGGGAGTTAAGGAAAGGGAAGAAAATCCAACAAAGATGGAATAGAAAGCAATGATTAAATTAAGGGATAATTTTTCTTTCCCTTGTTTGGGAATATTCTCTCCTTTAGAATCCTCCAAATTAGGGGACCTTCAAATTAAAGAGGAAGAGGAATATGGAAGGTTAGTTGACAAGCACTAACTAGCCTAACCTTCCTTAATAACCCCAAACAAGAGAGAAATTTAAATAAAACCTTCTCTTCTCTTCCTTAATTCTTCATCCAAACATACCCTAGAGAAAAGGGCCGGGGGTTTTGAGAGTTGGCATCTTAAGGAAATGTGTTGGATTTTTAAGTACAGCTAACAGACAGCAAGGATTTGTTTACATGATCTAGTGCTGGTGTAAAGCATGCAAACACTGTGCATATTCTTGACTTTGATGGTCCTAAACAAAAAGGAAGAATGCAATAAGAAAAAAGTGCAGCGCAGGTCAGTGACCCTTCAGGATAACTTGGAACTTTTTAAACTTGCCTTTGTATCATAGAATTTCAAGAAGAATCGTGATTTGGGCACAGATATTTTGGTTTCGAGAATTGATGCAATTGCAGCACTAAGTTTCTTATTCACATCAGGGTTAAGACCACCAATGGACACCAGTTCCCCATAGGCTGCAGGCTGCTCAGTCCCACCAAAAGATATGGGAATCGATCCTTTCAATACAATCATCACATACTGCAAATTGGGGGAAAAAGGATTAAAGGATTTAATCAAGTCAAAGAAATAACATATTATAGCTCAGCAGAAATATCATACTTATTTTCTATTTTAAGAGCCACATCAATGTCATGCTGCTTATCTACAACATGATTCCAAGAAGCATACTTTTTTGAGTAAAAGGGGAATTTCATTACCCAACAAGGATTACAAAACAGCCATGGTGTCAACAAAAACCAGGCCAACCAATCATGTGCACAACTTTACATGGAGGAAATACAAAATTAAGGGAAAGGAGTCTAGTGTGTCTGTTTTCTAGAAGGTTCGCCAAATCTTTGCCTCTGGCAGTGAGGTCTGAGATAGCTAAGGCTACACCAAGAAGCATCCTTTAAGTATAATGAAGGAGTCAGACTTCGATGCTCATCCCAAGAAGAACATGTATGAAATAAAGAAGTTAATGCTCTACAAACTCTTTAAAATGAGTTGCATTTTGAACCATAAAACTTTTCTAACGGGTGATACAGATAAAGGATAGAGTGAGTATATGGTTTAAAATTATGAAAAAAGTTAAATATTAAATAGTCCAGACTGTAACAAAATTTAATGTCATCTGACTAAAATAGTATACTCTTATTAACCATTATTTAATAATTTACACCATTTAGTTTTCTTTTTATTTTTGCGTTGGCCAGATCCTTTTAGTTACTCCATCAGATATTATTGTCAGATGAAGTTTTAACCCAATCATTAAACTAACTGAAGATGCATGGAGATCAGCAGAGTAATCACTAGGTATATTGCATAATAGCACAACATAGATCATACGGCCAGCAGGTCATTAAGGATATCTAAGAGAATGCTCGAAGTCTTCTTCATCAATCAATGGTTAAAAACAATAATTTTGCTCAAACTATTCTGATTCAGGCATTAGTTCCCCTTCTTGAGGATAGCAGCTTAACACCAGCACAGCTCTAAATTCAGTGAAAAGGAACTACATTAATCCATATAAAGTTCAAAACAGAGAGAAGTTGAAAACAAATTTATCAATGCTAGCACTCATAAAACAAACCAAGACCCACTACCACTCCATCCTTCCAACTAAATAACAGAGTAAATCATTCCCACCACATCCAAAGCTTGCAAATAAGGTCTTGATGCCCCAAATACACCTAATGACCGTATAAAATTACTTCTACGGATTACATAGTGAGAATAGGACATAGATTCAGCGAAGTGACTTATGACATAATTATCCGTTGCAAGCTAACACAATCAAATATCATTGCCAGGAACTTGAGTAGTTTGCAGCTAAACAAGGAGTGACATATTGTTTTCCTGAATCGATATAACATGAGACAGAGGACCAGAAAGATACTTGTAACCTCCGAACCTAAAAATTTCACTGATTTTCCTTGCAATATAGTTACATGTATTTAAATCAATAGGTATCAAGACAATTCAACCATCACAGAATTATCTAAGACTTGAATCACAATCCAACCCGACTTGAATCACAATCCCACGTCAATATTCTAAAGAAATGATAAGCCCGATAACCCTCTGACGATATCTGAACATAAATATCAGTTTTCAGAGTGGGAGGAAAACTACGCGGCA